AGCCCATTTTGAGAAGTAATCTGTTGCAGCCAAGATGTACAAGTGTCCACCAGAAGATTTTGGTAGTGGTCCCACAACATCCAATCCCCAAGCGTTAAATGGCCAAGATGCAATAGTTGGATGTAATACTTCGGGCGGCTAATGTATGAAATTTTCATGAAATTGGCAATCATTGCACCTTTGAGCATAATCTAAGCAATCCTTCACCATGGTTGGCCAATAATACCCCATCCTCTTTATGTGAAAGTGGAGTTTTGGTCCAGATTGATGTGATCCACATACTCCCGAGTGTGCTTCTTGCAAAGCTTGAATTGCTTCTCTCCCAAACATCGTAATAGTACACCCTCAAATGATCTTCTATATAATGTGTCTTTGTAATAAAGGAAGCGTGGTGCACGACGATGAATGTCAGTCCTTCTCCTTGGATCTTCTGGAAGTATCCCATAACACATGTAGTCAATAATGGGTTGTCTCCAATCTTCCTTTATGGCTTCAGAAACGGCAATGAGATGCTCAAGCTCATTTTCTATATATTCTTCCTCATTTGGAGGTGGTACTATCCATCTTTGAAAAATAGTCATTTGCGTCTGATCAGGAAGGGTTAGCGTTGAAGCTAGAGCAGCCAATGCATCAGCTTTCTTATTCTCCGTTCTACGCACATGTTGAAGGGTTACATCTCCAAGCCATCCTATCAACTTTTGAGCATAATCATGATAAGGACGCAATTCAGGCTTCTTCACCCCAGAACTTCCCAAGAGTTGGTTGATCACCAACTGAGAGTCACCAAAGACTTGTAAGTTTAATTGCTTCATGTCAACGGCCATCTCAAGTCCAAGTATCAACGCTTGGTATTCAGCGACATTATTGGAGCAACATTGCTTCAAAGTGAATGAGAATGGTAGGATCTCTTTTTGTGAAGTGATGAACACTACGCCAGCACCAGCTCCGCCACGATGTGCATCTCCATCAAAGTGTATTTTCCAAGGAGGTAGAACTTCAATTAACATTGCATCTTCATCAGGAAGCTCATCAGTTAACTCCCAATCATCCGATATCGGATGGTCTGCCAAGAATCCGCCAATGCTTGTCCTTTCACAGCTTTTTTGAGGGATGTACACGATCTCAAACTGTTGGAATTGGAGGTACCATCTTGCTAGTCGGTCACTAAGGACAGGTTTCGACATTACAAACTTGATGGGATTTGCTCTAGAAATAAGACGAACAACATGGGCTTGAAAATAATGCTTCATCTTTTGAATTAAGAAGACTAGCGCCAAGCACAATTTTTCAATCAACGAATAGTTCAGCTCATTTGGTGTCATCTTTCTACTCAAGTAGTAAAGAGAGTTTTCTTTGCCTTCACTATTCTCTTGAGCTAACAGGGCTCCTACGGACCTTTCTTGTGCCGTAATGTAGAGTATCAATGGCTTTCTAGGTATAGGGGCTGCCAAAACTGGAGGTTTCGCTAGATATGACTTGATACTTTTAAAGGCATCGCTACATGTTTCGTCCCAATTAAAAGGAGCACCTTTCTTCATGAGATGACCGAATAGTTGGCATCGTCCTGCTAGGTTTGAGATGAACCTCCTCAAGTAGGCTAGCTTTCCTTGGGGACTTTTTAACTCATGAATATTTTGAGGTTCAGGCATCTTCGATATTGCATCAACTTTGGCTTGATCAATTTCAATTCCTCGATGTCTCACAATGAAGCCAAGGAACTTCCAGAAGTAAATCCGAAGGCACACTTCAATGGATTCATCCTTAGTTGATATCTTCGAAGCAGCTCAAACACCATTCTTAAGTCTTTCAAATGATCACTCCTCTTTCTGGATTTTACCACCAGGTCATCCACATAACATTCAACATTTTTATAGAGCAAGTCATCAAATACATTTTGCATAGCCCTTTGACATGTAGCACCAGCATTCTTCAAACCAAATGGCATCACTTTGTAGCAAAAAATACCCTTAGGTGTGTGAAATGCGGTGAGTTCTTCATCCTTTAGAGCCATGCGGATTTGATTATAGCCAGAAGAACCGTCCATGAACGACATTGCCTCATATCCAGTGGTGGCATCAATCATCAGCTCTGGAATGGGAAGAGGAAACTCATCTTTAGGGCATGAATTATTAAGATCTCTAAAGTCAACACATACTCGAATTTGACCATTCTTCTTCTTCCCAGGAACAATACTTGAAATCCATGTAGGATATTTGACCTCACCAATAAAGCCTGCCTCAATAATTTTATTAACTTCATTTTATATCAATGGAACCAAGTTTGGCCTAAAGCGTCTTTGAGCTTGCTTAAAAGGACTAGAACTATTTTTGACTGCCAACTGATGGACCGCTACTTTAGGATTCAATCCAGGCATTTCTTTATAACTCCAAGCGAAGACATCCCTATATTCTCTGAGTATATTCATATAAGCGATTTCTTCATCAACTTCTAGAAAGGAACTCAAGTAAGTTGGCCTTGGGTTTTCATCAGTGCCAAGGTTAACTTCTTTCAAAGGGTCTATTGTGGTCTTTACTCTTTCTTCAAGTTCCGGTGGAGCATCTCCAGCATCTTCCTCTTCTAAAGGATCATTGTCGTTGACAGATATATGACAACAGCAGACAATATCTTTTAACTCTTCATTAATCTTTATTTGAGGTAGAGAATCGTACTCATTTTGGATTGTAACATGATTTGAGGAGCCTACACTTTCTTCATCTTCTTCGCGCTCCTTGGTGTAAACCACGGTGCGAACCTTTGCCTTGATCTCCTCTTTACATGAAACTACAAGTTCCACTCGTCGCCTCATTTTAGAAGGAATCAAACTTTTGAAATCCTTTCGAACCAAATGTGAAGCAGGCGTTGTAACTTTTAAATAACTTCTCAGATTCTTGTTTTTATTCAATGGACCTAATCTCTTGAACACAGAAGTTCTTGTAGTCGATTCTCCGAGTCGATCAAAGACGAAAAGCTTTCTATTGGGAGCAGTAACATCATCTTCAAAAGTTATATGATTATTGCTTGCTCTTCTTATGGAAATGCGAACTGGCGGTGGTTGGTTATAGCCTATGCCTTCACGTGTTTGCCTGGTTTTATCAACTGATGGGAGTTTCCCTAACGCTGATGGCTCATTAGGGTTATATCCAGCCTTCGCAAATAACTTGTAAGCATTAGGATCAAAACCTTCTCCCGTGCGTTTTGTAGGGAGTGCTACATCTCGCACTTGATTTTGAGCAATTGTCTCTCCTGACAGCTTTGAAGGCAAGTTTATTGCATCAATCCGTCTGATAGGAAGAGTTAGTCCTCTTAATGCATCTTCTTGAAGGTTAGATGATTTGACTTTCTTCTTTCTTTACTTTTGGAACATAGCGAAGTCCAAAAGTCAGATTCTTCTTTGAAGACATGGTCTTTCCTTCATTGAGATTGGGACAAAGTTCTTTAGTGTCAACTTTTACCTTTTCGACAGCCGTATCGATTATTTTGCTTGTGATCTTGTCAGACTTGGTTGATTTGACATCATTAGATTTTGTCCCTTTAACAACATAACTCTTCAAATAGAATTTTGCATCGGCAAAGTGCGTCTCAACTTCGGTGAAAGGATTATCATCTGCAACTATCTTCCTTTCAATCCCGTCTTCAAGATACTTCAAATATTGATAGTAAAAAGATGAGACAATTCTATTCTCGTGTATCCAAGGCCTACCAAGTAAAATATTGTATGAAGTCTTTGCATCGATCACGTGCATCCATGCGCTTGATCACAAATCTTCCATGTGAATTTCTAATTTAATGGAGCATATAGACCTCTGTCCTCCTTGATTGAATCCTTGTATCAACAAACGACTTTCACTAAGTTCTTCGGTCGTGATGCCGAGTTCCTTCAATGTGTGGATAGGTAGAATGTTGACTCCAGATCCTTCATCTATCAAGATTCTATTTATCTTCTTCTCTCGCACGTGACCAACCATATACAAAGGACGATTGTGTAGTGTTTCACCAAATAGAAGATCGTTATCTGTGAATGTGATTTTTGTATCACATGTATGAGCTTCTTGGGAAGAAAGTTCAATAGGCTTTTCAGAAGATGAAGGAGACATCATTGACGAGATTTCCCTTGTTGCTTTTTCTTCGCCACTAGGAGACACTTTTTGGTGAGGATTCTCTCGTTGTTCCTTCTCTGTCAGTTGGAGACACCTTCATTGTTTCTTCTTTATCAGCATTAAAACATGATGCCTCGACATTTTCTTAAGTAGACTTTGTGCGCAACCAACTTGGTAAGAATTCTTCTAGAGTTACAGGATATCGGGGTTTCTGGTAGTGATGCACTTCTACCTTCGCCTTCTATAGGCGCTTGATTGATTTTTGCTTCACCAGTTTCTTCACCATCTTCTTTCTAATCGGTTGCTCACATGATTCTTTTTGTAAGCTTGACTTGTTGCGTCTTCACCTAGTTACAAGAATTCAGCCTTCATCACCATCTATATCAACTTGTAGATTTGTCTAGTTCCAATGACTCTTCTTCATGCTTTTTAGTGATATGTATTTGGATCGGATCAAGCGAGCCGAATGTGATGGAGATTTGATTAGAACTAGCTTTCTCATCATCAAGGACAATCTTCTTTTCTCTAACCAATCGCATCACTCTATCCTTGAAGACAAAACATTTTTCAAGATGATGACTCACAAGTCTATGATATTTGCAATAATTTGGATCATCAGCTTTTCCAGCTTCATCAGGCCGCGTTATCTCTGGCAACTCAATGAGCTTTAATTCAAGCAACTCATCGAAAATATCAGAAAGGTCAGAGTCCAAGAAGGGGTATTCCTTTTCTTGCATTTCCCTTAGGATCGATTTTTGGTCTGAACGCGCTTGAAAATTTGTTCTCCGCTTTGCTTCTTCCCTTCCTTCGTAGTGAACTTTACAGGCGACACATTAATATTCATTGACTCTTTGTTGTCGTTCTTGGGCACAAATTTGCTCAATCTCTTAGGTTCCTGTTTGTCTCTTCCTTTGCGAGGGTCGTGGACAAACGTCATATCCTTTCCAGCAGAGGACATGCTCAACTCCATATCATGAGCACGAGTAGCTAGATCTTCAAAGGATTTTGGTTTTATTCCCTGTAAGATAGAAAGAAGCTCCAGTGCATCTCTTGGATACACATTTCTATTGCAGAAGGTTCACTAAGCCTATCCTTGCAATTCATGCTCGCGTTCCTCCATCGATTTATGAAGTCTATGGCTGGTTCATCCTTCCTTTGGCGAGTATTCGTAAGTTCTACCATGCTTACAGTACGTCTTATGCTATAGAATTGATTGAGAAACTCGTGCTCTAGTTGCTCCCAACTATCAATAGAATTGGGCTCAAGATCTGTGTACCAATCAAAGGCATTTCCTTTTAGAGACCGGACAAACTGCTTGACAAGATAGTCTCCATATGTTCCAGCATTATTACACGTCTCCACAAAGTGTGCAACATGTTGCTTCGGATTTCCTCTCCCCTCAAATTGTTGAAATTTGGGAGGTTGATAACCAGCAGGCATTTTTAAGTTATCAATTCTTGCAGTGTATGGCTTGGCATACATATGAGAAGACTTGGTGGAGACTTCATACTTATCTTTGATAGTGCCTTCAATGAACTCATTCAAGCGATCCAGTGGGATCATCCCTTCAGAAGAAATTGGCATCTCATTAACAATCGGTGCTTTCTTTGCAGGATCTCCAATCTCTTGAACTTCAACACATTTTCCGGGCGCATGACTTGCTTCTCCATCTAAAAGTCCTTCCATTCGATCCATCAACTTATCGATTCTAGACTCTTGGTGTTGTACATGCTTTGTCAATCCTTCAACCAACTTCGTCAGATTTACGAGTTATTCCTCAGAGGAAGAAGCAGCAGCCACCATTGTTTGCATGATCATTGGAGATGTAGGAGAGTAGCATGGATTGTCACGTAAGTTGATCTTCAGCAGACTCACATTACGCGATGCATGTGGAGGTGACTCATTCGTTGAATCACAGCTCTCCCTTGTGGTAGAGTTCTTGGAACCAGATTGCTCAAGGAGAGCCAATGTCTTCTTGATCTTTTCAGCAACACTGCTTCCTCCTTTTAAAGCATTTGCGGAGGAACTTGATATTTTTTGAGTAGTAGACTCAAAAACTGGAGTTGATACAGATTACACTTGAAGTGTTCGTTGTTCTAGTGTAGCAGCCTTGCTTCTCGTAACAGCTCCGAAACTTCCAAAGGTAACACCCAAAATGCCTTCAACTTCATTAGAGAACTTAGAGCTAGTAGCCTTAGAGGCAGTTGATCGGGAGTTGTTCTTTATAGAAGTCATCTCGATATTCTTTGATGCTTGAAAAGTTGAGATGAGAGGTAGAGATTGTCCCACTGGGCGTGCCAGAATTTGTAGACAATAAAATTCTCATCGAGAAAACAATAATCAAGAACGGAAAATTATGCAACAATTGTTTTATTGATTTAAGTGCGAGTGTTACAATCTCTATTATTCCTCTGAATTCTCTTTTTCAATTATAATTCAAGGGCTCTTGAGCTTGATCTTGAACTTGAGATTTATCTCAATCTTGATCTCTATCTTGATCTTGATCTTGATCTTGGACTTGGACTTGGACTTGGACTTGGACTTGAACTTTATCTTGATCTTGATCTTGAACTTAAACTTGAACTTTATCTTGATCTTGACTTCTAGTTGAATCCAAGGGCTTCGAGCTTGATCTTGAATCTGGCGGTCTTGATCTTGATCGTTCTTGATCTTTATCGTTCTTGAGACTTGAACGTTCTTGAATTCTTGAATTCTTGAACTCTTGAACTTGTGGAGAAATCTGCAGCTTTTGATCCACGAGCTTTCTCTTGCTTCTTGTTAAAATTCTTGGTCCTCCTTTCTGAATTCTGAAGACCCCTATTTATAGTTTTAGAATAGGGGAGTTGTGATTGGAATAGAATTTTCTTCAGCCAATCAGATTTAAGTGACATAACATATGGGCTTTATGGAGCGGGCTTTAATTAAATTCATATTTATTGAATTTAAATAATTAATTCAATTATATCAATCCATAATATTTATTTGGACTAATATATTAATGAATTTAATATAATCCAAATCATTTTAATAAATTTATATTTAAATAATTTTTAAATGATTACAGCAAGATTTTAAAGAACAGATACATCATCTTTGAATCACTATGAATTACTCGTCCTTAAACAATCAGTCCATGCACATCTATAGTACTAACTCCAATCGTTCTTTGGAATATGTATGGAAAAATAGGAATATATAGTAAACTATGGTCGATACTCCTAGAGTTGAAGGGATCAGTCATGGAGCACACCCCGAGGGAGGCTAATACGATAGCAAATTTACTAGCAATCTACGAAAGGAAAACAAAAGATCCACATATGATATATGTAATTAACCCTATGTTGTTTTTTATGCATCTCTTTCTCTTGTAAAATATTCTCTCGAACGAGATTCTATGGGAACTACATCATTTAGATCAATTCCTCTTTTTTATGGATAAAACCTTCCTAATAAAACACCTTTCGTTTCTAAGCAAAAACAAAAACAGACTAATAGGCTTTATAACATAGAAGGTGTTAGGAGTCTCACATTTAGAAATAAGGGTTAAACAAGTGTGAGAAAAGAATTTAGTCATATTACCTCCTTTGAAGAAAGTATTGCACAAAATTAATGATGTCATGCTTGATAATCCCCCAACATGTTTGATAAAAATTATCATTGAATCCATCTAGTCCTGCTACACTATTCTGGAGACATAAAAAACATTATTTTTAAGTTAATTGATTATAGATCTATATCCGAAAATTTCCAATTTGCATCTTTCATTTTATGTTCAAATGACAAATCTAGGGTTATATTCATGAAATAAATGCTTATTCAATTTAGAATCACTTACCTTAAACTTGTAGGTGACAAATCTAGGGTTTTATACTCAACCCTTCTTTTCATTCTTCTCAATCGTGAAGAGTAACTGATGCATACATTTTTCCTATTCACAATCGCATTGATTGGTACAACCCTAATTTTCTTCATCACCTTTTGTTATCTTAATGAACAACCTCTACACCAAAGAATATACAAAATTGTCAAAATGCTTCAAATGGTTTTAAACATATCAAAGAAACTTAAAGTTTGACCTCAATAAATGTCACAACTATCCTTCAGGATGGCTCAGTTGGTTTGGAGAGTGGTTATCCACACGAATGACCCGGGATCGATCCCCCCTCAATGCCTTATGAGTCAAGCCTGTTGAATAGGGCTTGCCTAGTGCGGTTTACATCCCCTGTGTGGTTTGCAGGATATTACACAGTGGGGATTTACCCAGTGCGCACAAAGTGCTCACCACAGAGTGCTCACCCGAAGAGCAGCGGTTGCGGCAGAAGTTGTAGCGGTTGCGGGTTATCCTGGGGTTCCAGATGATTCGTTTGCAAAACCTTTACGGAATCCTTCTTAGGGAGTTGGAGGAGCAGTACATGAAGCCTCACAATTTTTTCCCACATATTTTGGACATTTAGGAGCCAATTTATAGAAATTGATGTAAATAGTGATATTCTTTTGAAAACAGAAACACCTAGTATAAACCAAGCTTATGCTACTATAGTGCAAGAGGAAAGCTAACAAGTGTTAGGTGTAATTGATTCAAACAAGGAACCACTCTATAGATTGGTGGGCTATCGATTAGACTTCAAAATCAAGAAGAGCAATTCAACTAGATTTTATCCAACTGGTGGCTCTAGGTAAGGAACCTATAATATATATAATAATAATGCAAAAATTGAAAATTTTAGACCATATACTAACAATGCAACTGCTGAAAAGACTGAAACTAGAGAGGAAATAACACATCTCGAGATGAATAATGAAGAGTTAGATCAAGTGAGGAATTTGTTGCACAACAAAGAAACAGGTGAATACAAGGCAAATTTAACAGGTACTTTTTCACCAATGATTTAACCTTGTGCACATGAATGGATTATTGGTTCAAGGGCAACTCATCACATCACTTCCTCTGAAGAACTACTAAATGGCCTAAAACAATTTAAAGGTCAGGGATCAAAGACAGTTCAATTTCCAACAAGTAATAAGGCTGAGATAAGAAATGGCTTACACGTGCCTGATTTCAAGTTCGACCTCCTATCTGTTGCAAGGCTTACTAAGGTCCTATCATCCAGTGTTACTTTCCTTCCTAACTTTTGTGTGTTGCAGGAACTTTACAGTGGTAGGGTGGTTGGGAATGGTGGAGAAGGCAAATGTTTATATTTGCTGAGAGAGGTGCAGCAATAAAGGGTACAAATAACTCTGATTTATGACACATGAGGCTTGGGCACCCATCACTCAAGGCATGAATGCAACATATTTCATCACCTAAAGGTCATGTAGACACTAGTATTCATCAAAACTATCAAACTTGTCATTTTTATTTTAAATTTATCACCGTATGGAGGTGAGACTTTTATATTGATGAATAAAATTACAAAGCTAAAGGGAGCTAAAGATCGACCCATTGTTTCAATAGTTGCTTCCCAAAAACTAAGGTTCTCACAAAAACTATACAAGTTCTCCATAAATTTACAAGTCCAGTATGATAGATTAAAATAGTTATAACATCTCTACTAGGTTAGTTCTATACAAAATAATATGTCCTCTGCTTATGCCTTAGGGACTCCATTTGTATGAGATCAAGTTTGTAAGTCCGATGACTATTGATGGTAGGTGAGCATGTGCAAAAATAACCAACTCTCATTTGTAATACTCCATTTTTGCCAAGGCATCTGCAACTTGGTTGGCTTACCTGTAA